AGAATAGATAGTCTCAACTTCTTGTTGGGATCCACGATGAAAACAGCTCTGGCGGTCATCGCATTCCATCCTTATCCTTCTCGTCCGGGTCAATCATACGAAGTTTTACTGCTAATTCGCGGGAACTATCATCGATGATTGGATATGGGAATGTCTTGGTCATTTCGCCTAGCCGAAAAAAAATCGAAACATTAAATATGTGGAAAACTACAGTAATTATTAATTTCTTGTAGGGTAAGTTCAGTAATCGCAAAAAAATCGAAAATGAAAAATTTTATATATCTTTACATTTCAAAGGTTTTTGAACATTTTGGCATACCTTAGAAAAAATTGATGTATGTTGTGTGTGTGTGCGAATACAAATTTTCGTCGACGATTTCGAGAACACAGATCAACCGATTCGAATAATTAAAAAAACATTCGATTCGTATTGATAAGGTGACGTGCTGATTAGTTTTTGGCCAAGGCAGGTCTAGCCGTTCCAAAGATACGAGGCAAAAAGTGCCAAAAACGGTAACTCAGTTTTCAAGAGAACGGAGCGTCCGATTTTAATAATTCAAAAAACATTTTACTTGCATTGACAACATGAACTGATTAAATTTTTAGAAAGGCAGGTCCAGCGGCTACGGAACCTCAATAAAAATAGAGATTTTAATAATGTGTACACATTTCGTGTAATTTTTTTTGGGTTCGTGTCAAGATTTTTAATTACGGTGCAGGAAGTTCCAGCTATTTGCCTCAAGGCACAATGCCATGCACCCCACTAGTTCTACTTAAACTTAACCATTTCCAATTAAAGAAATATTTAAGAAAATAAAAAAATAGGTGTTTTTCATCCAATATTTATTGGTGTAAGGATATTCACTATTTTTAAAAAAATAATATTATTGACAAAAATAATAACGGAAAAAGCTTGTAAGTGTAAGATTACTGTGTTAAGTTCAAACATTGACCAAGATATCTATAAAAGGTTAAGGCGTTTTGAACGTAGGAGTAGGTGACAAGACAAGTGTTACATTTTATCGGTAAAACATGTTTATTGAGTGCATAAAAATAACTGTAGACCATATAAGATAAAACAAACAATTATATGTATTATATTTTATAACGCATTAATTGGCAATAAATAGCTTGGCCAAATGCCAAAAATATTGAATGCTGAATATCATATGAAGCACATGTGTACAACATATAGCTTATAAAGTAAGCATGCATGCATATATAATATTATATGTCTTTAATAATAATAATAATAAATTTATCTTTCATTATTTATAAATTTTTCTGTCTTTACTATTGTTGTAAACATACTGAGCTTGCATAATAAATAAAATATTGATCAAATCATTATTGATCATTCAATAAATAAAACAACTCTAATTAATCACCGTGGAAAGACGCAACAGAAATATTCAAATAACTCAATTTGTTATATTTTAAATCATATTACTCACCTGCATAGCTCAAAATATCTTTGGACCATTCCAGATGAGAAGCTACTGTATCGCAAGACAAGGCAATTACCTTGACATTGCGTTTCTCAAATTCTGGCATCAGTTTTACAACCCTGGCTAATTCGGTGGTGCAAACCGGGGTAAAATCGGCCGGGTGAGAAAATAATATTCCCCATCTGAAAAAAGGAAAGTGAATTAAAAATTAAATTCAAATATACTTTAAAACTATAATTATACTACTACAATTATTATAAAATGTTAAAACATTCATTACAAGAATCTATTTATAATTTATAAACATAAACGGATTAATCCACAAATTACATACGAATTTCCCAGCCAATCATGAAAATCAATCTCTCCTACAGTCGTATTAGCTTTAAAATTTGGGAATTTGTAACCCAAATTAACTTCATCCCTCTCACTACGAACAAAAATCAAAAAACTAGCAAATAAGCACAAAACCCACTTTAAATTTCCGAACATGGTGTATGTGGTGTATTTCAATTAATAACTGTCACATAACTGAACAAATGAATCGCCTTTTATACTCTCAGACATGGAATTTATTTTTGTTAAAATTTATAAATATTTAAAAATTTAATACAACTAGAAGTTATTATTACTTGAAACACAATTGAACCAGGCGCAATGTTGCAAATAAAAATGTTATCCTCATATGACATGGTATGTAAATAATAAACTCGCATTGTTAGACGGACAATGGTTTTATTGATACAGAAAAATTATTATTTCATTATATCGCAAGTCAATTGAAAAACAATAAATATTAATAGCCGAAAGTTCCATTGTAAATTGTGTTACATAATAGATTGGAGTTGGCAATGTAATAGATACGAAGCACATATTTTTACAGAGAAGTTATATTATTTTTTTGGAAAAACCGATGCAAAATATAGCAACTCTAAATATATTTTAAATAATCGTCATCTTAACTTATTTGTTTATTTGACATCCTGGTGTATGTAAGTTTTATAAAATCGAGTCATTCATAGTTTTTACATGTTCTTAGTATTGACTGACTCTCTTCGATATTTTTGAAAATTTCAAGTAATTCCATTAATGGATTTTAGGCAATATAGCATATGTTAATTGCATATCTTCCTCTTTTATTATATGCAGTTTTAAATCTTATTCAATTTAAACTAGTTGAATTCTTATTCTCACATCTAAGCTTAATACTTAATATATGTTTTATGTCGAATTTTGTCCTTTGCACAGAACAAGCAAATTGTACATTTTGTGGTTGTTCACTATGCAAAATATTAGGTTGTCAAATATCTCCCTTCCGCTTTTTTGCTCTTGGTTACATACAAAAAGGCGGAAGGGAGATATTTGACAACCTAATAATAAATAATACATAATAACTAATATTTAATGACATAACTTATTATAAAAATTAAAGCTAGATGGACATTAATTTCATTTCTAATTTCAACTCAGATAAAATTAAAAGCACTATATTCAAAATTGTCATCAATCTCCACAAGATGCATAGCCCGTAGTTTTTCAAAAAATGATAAACCCAAAGAGGAAAAAAAGAAGAAAAAAAGAAAAACCCAAAGAAAAAAGAAAGATAGTTGTAATGATGAATGTAAGAAAAAACCTAAGAAGCCCAAACTTTTAAAACAAGTAGTGCCTGTATTAGAAGAAACGATGAAATTATTTTTGATTTCTTCGAGGCCTCTGTTGACGCAAGAGGAGTTCATGCAATCATGTAAAATAGCTCAGGAGTTTTTATGCCCAAACGGAGAAGGAGCAAAGTTACAGGTAAGAAGAACCTTAATTACTAAAAATAATGGAACTGCTAAAATGTTTTTTTTACTTCATGATCATTCATGAACACAATAATAGCAATTTTGAAAATCGTAAATCAAAAATTAATTATTGCTTAAATCAGTTAGATTATAATATTTGAATAATCGTGTTTGAATGAACTAATAAAATATGTTTTAATAAAATTATAAAAATTCAAATTTATATTAATAGGCTGGAATTTGCAAAAGAGCGGAGGAAAAAACTAATTGGCTGACTGAATGGTGGTTGAACGCGGCCTATTTGGAAAATAGGGCTGCTCTTCCTATCAATTCGAGTCCGTGTATGGTATACCCATCAGTAAAATTCAAATGCAAAGAAGAAAAAATCAATTATATTGCCAGAATGATACGAGGAGCGCTAGAAATGAAACAGATAATAGACAAGTATAATACTATTTTACTAAAAATTTTACTTAACCATTAATAAATATATTAATTTTAGAGGAAAACTTCCACAGGAAAAACGTGGTAAGTACAATCTGGATATGTCTCAATATGGTAAAGTTTTCGGAACGTGCAGAATACCAGGATGTAAAAAGGATTCACTGCAGTTCCATTGTGACAGTGAACATATTGTAGTTATATATAAAAACAACGTAAGTGTAATTAAGACGTAACAAATGTAAATCAAACTTATCATATGCCAAAATTAACAACTTCAACCAGTCCAACAGAAGTACAAATACTTGAAGCTATATAATTAGGAATTTGTGTTTGATTTCAGTTCTTTAGGATGCCAGTATTCGATAAATGTGGTATTGACATGTTGAACGAGGATCAAATCACCTGCCAATTAAACTTGATAATGCAAATGGATACTCCGGGGGATCCCGTGGGCATATTAACTACAGACAATCGTGATAATTGGGGCAGAGGGTTTGAAGTACTCATGAAAGGTAAACCTAGTACAGCAACCACGATAACTTGAACAAAGGCATTGAAAGTTTCATACATATATTCCAAAAAGTAACTTTAGTCCGTTGCGAGTCTTATATTATATGCACCAAAGATTTGTAAAAATATAAATAATAATTCTGTATTGTCTTCAGTTTTTGAAAATATCCGAAGCAGAATATAAAAAAAACATTTAAACAAAATTCTAGAAATAGTTTTTTTTTTCTTAAAAATAATAGATAACAAATAAAAAATAGTTTTTTTGTTATTGTCGCTGATCTCATTTTTCGATATATGACAGAGGATCACAACAAGAAAGTATTTGAAATAATCGAAACATCTTTATTCATCATGTGTATCGATGGACCCATGCCTAAAGGGGATTCACTTAACCAGCGGTCAATTGCTGCAAAGCAATTATTGCATGGTGGTGGAAGCAAATACAATTCTGGAAATAGATGGATGGATAAAACCATACAGGTAATACAACAATATTGTCAGCATTATTTTAGTAATGTAAAAATCAATTAGAAGCAACTCAAATCAACTTTGATGTCCATTATGAGCGATTCAAAAAATATTTTTCCACTATATCGGGTTTAAGCCACATTCGTCCACCCATCAGGAAATTTCTAAAATTATATTACTAATGTTGCAAATTATTACGCATCATGGCAGTAGTATAAAACCTCCATTTATAGTTTGTAGTTGGAGAAGAGGGTCAAAATGGTATGATTTACGAACATGCACCATGTGAAGGAGGCCCTGTAGCCACGATAAGCGATTATGTGATAGCATATATTCAGAAAAACGTCAAAGCAAAACCATGCTGCCATTATGACAAAGCATGTCATATAGTATTCAGTATCGGATCGGATGTTCAAGCTTTAATATCAACGGCCAAAACAAATTTAGATTGTGCAGTACAAGGTATTCAAGTTCATGGTTGCCAGTTCAAGCAGTTTGGAACCGATTTTATTAAAAAAAATAATCTCAGCCCAGACGCTTTTGTACAGTCGGCATTCCAATTGGCATTTTACAGGTAATAAGGAGCAGTCCTATAATTCCTAATATTATTGCAAAATAACGTAACATTAGGCAATCATCCAGGAAGATCGTAATGCGATCAGAGTTTTCAAAGACATTCTATTCTAAATTATTAGTACAACGTATACTTCTACAAATATTGAACAATGCAAGCCAAAACTAGATCACTAAACGAGATAACAACATATGCAAATATTTTTATTTCAGAATACACAATAAGCCTGGAGCTACTTATGAATCTGCAGCGCTACGGATTTTCGAAGATGCTCGCACAGAGAATATCAGAGGATGTTCAGCGGAGTCAGTAAAAATGGCCAGAACTTTGCTCAATAGACGCTCGTGCTTAGAAGATCAAATGAAAGTTTTAACAGAATCTATTAAAGCACACAGAGCTTTCACATTGAAAGTAAATTGTAACTTGAGTTAAAATAATGCCTATTAGTTCTAAGCATCTGATAATCCTCAATCTAAGGCCACCTTAGAAATTGAAGCATAGTTGCTAAAATTGCATATATGATTTAATTTTGCTTCGTGCAAACCTATTTCTAAAACCAAAAAAATTTTATTCAATATCACCCCCCTTAAAGACTCACTTTCCAAATTTACTTGCATATGCAATTACATACAGTTGTATGTAATTCACTGCAAATGATCAGAATATAGTTTTTCAGTAGCATTCATAACTCATTATGATACATACAAAACTCACTACCATCTTTAAAACCTCATATTGGAGATAATTCCATAGTTAAGATTTGCCGTACAACATAAGTAGCCAATTATTTTATTCATATTTTTTATATTCATTAATTGAATACATATCCTTAAGGCTTTACAAGGGCTGGGATGTGATAGACATCTTTTTGGCTTAAAAATGATGGCAAAGGAAATGGATATGGTTACACCTCGGATATTTTCTGATGCAGCATTTGTGAAAAGTACACATTGGAGATTATCGACAAGCCAGGTAAAATCACAATTTGCCAAAAAAACTTGATTAAATACATTAATCCTTTTCCAAATTTTTATTGAATTATATTAGGTTTCTACAAAGTCCGATTGTTTTATGATCTACGGACCCGCAGTAAAAAATGGGTATGGATGTTGTTACAACCTCAGGGCAATCAATATGAATTTTGGAATAACTTCATATAGTAGCTATCCTAACACTGTACCCGAAAAGTAAGTATTGATTCTCTAAAAATGATCGTTTTATATAATAATACATAAATAGACATAGTAATAATATTAAACTAACTATATAATAATTTCAATGATGGAAAATAACTGAACTTAATTAGATTTCGAGTGGCACTCGAAGAATCATTAAATGAAATGTATGACATCTGTTGCAAATTTGCTAAGAAACATCCACCAAAAAAAGAAGAACCTAAAAAACCAGAACCAAAAAAGCCTGAACCTAAGAAGCCTGAACCCAAGGCTTGCGAATCCAAAAAAAGTGAACCAAGTGATTCGAAAAAGAGTGAAACTAAAAAATGTGAATCCAAAGACACAAAAAAAGAAGAAAAAAAATAATACCCTTTAAAATAACCATAAAAAATGATAAACAATTAAATTAAAAAAAAAAATTGCGTTTTACGTCCTGTAATTGTGACACTTTTTGTATAAATTTACATATTTTGTAATGGTTCTACACATCTAATATTTATAATTATTATTATTATAATATATATTTTCATAATTTCTTACTTGTTCTAGAAGTTAAAATAAATATATGATGAAATTGATTCCTTAAAAGTCATTAAAGTTTAAGACTAAACACCAGCATTTTTTCTTAGACTAAAATAAAATGGCAAAGCCAATTTTGTTCAAATAAAACTTAAAACAAAGAAAATATATACAAATAAAATATATTTTTATATTTTTCTAGCTAGATGCTATTAACTATTTAAAATAGATTATTAAAAAAACTTCATTTATATTTTAAAATATACAAGAATATACAAGAGTTCTTTCGTTCGTTAGTTAAAATAATTATCTAAGAAGTAAATAGTACATATTCAATAGCGAATAGCAAAAAAGTAATAGTAATTTATTGGCAAGCACATTCCTTAATAATTTATTGATTCACATTTATAACATTTGTATATTAAATATATACAAATTATTGTAATCATACATAAAAATTTGTAAATCAAATATCAAAACATGAACATGTAGTAACACCAAATCAGTCTTCTAATAACTTTAATCATAATTCATTTATCTAATTCAAAGTCATGAATGATGATTGCTTAATTGCTACTAATGATTACATAATAATTAATAAAGATAAAATACTAGAACCTAAATATATCTATGAAATTAGAAAAAAAATCAGGTCAAACAAATCTAATATTTGCTTTTAATTTCAATAAAAAAGACTTCAACTTAATATAAATCACAATTTAAGCATTCTTGTTCTCATAATACAAAATCAATTATTCACTCAACAAATTTTCCTATATAACTAATAAAATATATCTTAAATACAAAAAAGGGCCACCATAAAAGTAATAAAGTTATTTTTAACAAAAGATGTAGTCTTTGCATTTTATTTTAATTTATATTGTCACCAATATAATTTCGAGCCATTTCAGTTAATGATATTTGATCATCAGTTTTTCCACAAGCTATATCAAGCCATTTTTGGTCAAATGGGATTGATTTCTTGCTTTGTTCATTCATTGAAATGGATACTTTATTACAAGTATCAGAAGTATTATCAGCATATTTATTTCCATCATCAGTTCGTGTTTTTTTTGTTAGATGTTCAATAAATTCAATGCAATCAATTTTTTTTTTCGAAGATGAAGTGAGGAACTTCTGTATTTTAACCTTGTCCTGGCAAATGTTTGACTTGATATCAGATAATAATCGTATTCGTGTTTTATTATCATTAACTTTTACAATTTTTTTATCAAAAGATAATTTTATATTTTCATTTTTGCGTAATATAGTTGGAGAGGATTTCCTTTGATCATTTTCAATATCTTGTACATATGAAACTTTATATTTTCTATAAAATTTCTTCAATGTCCTAAAGTTTAAATCTGACTTACAAATTTTGTTATTTTTTCTTTCAACGATTTCAATAGTATCCAGAAATGGAAATCCATTCTTTTTGAATTCTACCCCCCTTTGTGTAACAGGTATATTGCTTGGCATATTTTCAGTATCATATACTTCAGACCAATCTTCTTCAACATAATCACTAGTATCATTTTTCTTACTGTCTGATAATTTACGCTGTAAGTCATTCAAAATATAACTTGTTTCATTACCTTCCACCATGGACATCATTGCTTGTTTCCTTCGTAAACTAGAATTCCAATGATTTTTTATAGCATTATCCGTCCGTCCTGGCAAAAGCTTGGCAATGGTTGCCCAGCGGTTTCCTAATTTCTTATGAGCTTCTAAAATTAGTGCATCTTCCTGCGCTGTCCAAGGATTTTTATTGATATTTGGATTCAAATGATTATGCCATCTTTCTCGGCACTGCTTCCCTAGTCGACCCTCCAGTTTAGTAGCTATTAAAGTCCATTTTCTTGCACCATACTTTTCAACCAGTTTTATAATTTTTTCATCTTCTTCGCGAGTCCAAGGTCCCTTAATAATGCGTTTACAAGAAATTTGAGACCATCGTTTGCGACAGTTTATAGGAGATCTACCAGGAAAATTTGTAGCGATTCTATTCCAATCATCTCCAAATATATCAACAAGACCTGACAATTGTCTGTCTTGTGTTTCAGTCCACCTTTTAACATTGTTATACTTAACTGAATGTTCTTCATCACTCTCTAAAGATGAACATATTTCAAAATAATCCTGTAGACTCTCTTCAGATATCATTGTCAATGAGAGGTGTGATAATAGCGACAGTTATATACAAAGGCTATATGTACTTATTTGTGATAAAAAAAGGTTTAGAAAGACACGAATTAGTATGTGACAGGTGTAATTATGATCTTTGTTAATCCGGTAAATAATGATACTGAATAGATTCAGTTAAAAATAAAATCGGTTAAAACATAACCTATATTCGAAATTTTATAATAAATTTACTTACGAATCTTGTAGGTAATCATGAAACTTAATATCACCAATAGATGTTTTTAAACAGTAATTTGGGAAAATGTCACCTAAATTTACCATATTTTACTGCTTTAATTACTATTTTCACTTCTTAAATTATAAACAAAGCACACTTATAATTCTGTCACACTTAAAAATAGTACGTAAATATATGTGATAGACTTGATATCATTAACTTAATAACAACTTCAGCAGAAAACCCTCGAATTTATTCCACACTGTAGGTTAACTGCCATCAAGGTCTAGGATGGAATAGTGTTGCCCCACTGAAAAATAATACAATTCTCAATAAACAAACTAATAAATGATTAATAAAGCAATATTAATAATTATCTGTCTAGACAATGTGATCATTTCTAATACTAATTAAATATAAAAACTTTAAGTTTGAATTATTATGCATCGATTTTACCTGTTAAGAAAAAAAATACGTATACAAACACCGTTAACGTCAAACAACTTACTAGAACGCGTACGTTTACATGGATTCCTCTGATACATGCGATTAATGAAAGCAAGAAAGCAATTTATCTATGCTCACTAATTTAATTAAACACGTCACAAACTTCTTTTATTATTAGTTATTAGATTTTTGACGAATTATTTAGTAATTTTTTACTGTTAATCAAATACTAAATGGTGTATCGGATTAATGGTGCCCAACGTTAAAGCATAAACGCATCGATACCAACATAAAGAAAAAGAATTATATGTATTTTCTTTTTGAATTTAAAGATCGTTCATTCATGGGAAAAATCATTAGGATATTTTCATTAGATTTTCCACTGAATGAAGACTAGGATTTTAGCCGAAATATATGGATATCCAATAAAAATCTAAATCATTTATATAATTCTTTATTGATGTAATATCCCCTAAACAATACCAGAATTATATCAGCATCAAAATCAAGATTATAAAGTATATAAGTCATAAGTAAATACAAATGAACAAATAAATATGAATGTGATGCAATTGGTGAAATAAATAAAAAATTAAATAAATATATAATAGATATTTTCCATAATCTATCATGCCAATCACTTCTGTCTGACTCAGACATAGAAAATACATGAAAAATACTATCAATACAATTTTTATACTTTATATGAAAATGCTAGATTTTCCTACATAAAAATCATGTAAAAGTTATTATCTTCAATTAAATTTAGTTGTAAAAAATAATTAATTTATTAATCCATCAAAAATGACGATATTAATTTAAATTAAAAATTTATCTTTAGATTTTTCTGATATGTCCGCCGATTTTGTTATGTCAAAGTACAAAATAATAAATATTTGAACTTGCTGGTTAACCTACAAAATCGTTCGTTATAAAATAATAACGAACGTAATTTATTATAAGTATCAATCTTATATTATGTTAAAAAGATATTATCTTCAAAATAATTTATTTTTATCATCTTACAGGCGTCTACTATGACATTGCTTCTTTTTATGGACTTTGTTATGATAATAATTGGCAGTCATTTTGACAGTCACTTAAAGCTTGTTAGAAGAAATTTTATATTCAGATTATTAACTTATTAGTATTTTGCACGGAAACTGGTTTCAGTAATAAAATATTTATAACTAGTTTTCGTTGGCGCGAGTGAAAGTTTCTTCATCTGCTTATTCATCAATTCTACAAAGAATTGTAAATTTTCGGTATGAATAGAGTTTTAAGGAGATTGACAAACAATATGGTAAATAGATATTTAATATGAATAAAAAATATATATTTTTTTATTATTATTTATATTTTAAGGCTGCATTGAAAGTAAATCAAAATATAGTAGCTTATAGCATATCTGCCAAACCTCAACCTGTGCATAAGGATAACCCGCAAGGACTACCTTTTCTTCCCGTGCCACCATTGAAAAATACACTGGAAAAGTATTTGAAGTCAGTAACTCCTTTTTTAACAGAGTCAGAGCTTAGTAAAACCACAGAGTTAATAAAGGAGTTTGGTGCAGAAGGAGGAGTTGGACAAAAGTTGCAGGTAATGTAATTATTCATTTATTTAATATTTGCTAATAGTTATCAGTTAATATATGATTATGCATATATATATATATATATATATATATCCTAAAAATACCAATAAAAATTCTTGTTCTAGTATAAGAAGTAAAGTTTGAGCGTTATACTAGCTATATAGTGAGCTATATTTTTTCGTTTTCTCATTTACTTTTTTTTTTCTCTGCATTATTTTATATGTCGGTACAATCACTCATAATCAGTATTATATATGTATTGCACATTGAAATATTCTTTTATAATTCATATGAAAGATTGAGCTCTTTGCTGATTTGTATAGTATGATTTTTGGGTGTTTATTATAGGTAATAACATTCAATCATTTGTATTTACTGACACACTTAATATTTCAATTTGTTTAAATTTTGAAGCTTATAAATAATAAAATAAAATTATATTATAAAAACAGTACAAATTGCTATTTGACCATCAATATTTAATTTTAGGCTTTATTAAACAAACGCGCAGCAAATACCGATAGCTGGTTAGCTAATTGGTGGCTTCACAGTGCCTACTTAGACTTTAGATGGCCTGTCGTAGTTCATTCCAGTCCTGGTCTTGTATTTCCAGAAAGAACATTCTTTAATGATAGTGAGAGAATTGATTTCACAGCCAAACTAATTTGTGCTGCCATTGACTACAAAATATTAATAGACAAGTATAAAATAAATTATAATTCAAAACTATTATTATTTTGAATGATTTTTCAAATATATTTGTACATTTTAGAAATGCTTTACCACTGGATAAGATGGGAAAATATCCTTTGGATATGGCTCAATACACAAAAATATTTGGAACCTGTAGAATTCCTGGCTTAACAAGAGATTCTTTATCATTTAATCCTACTTCAAAACACATTATTGTTATGTACAATAGCAATGTAAGTAAATATAATGAATTATTAATAAGCAACAAACCTTTAAACTCATTAAAATAGGAATATAAATATATAAGTACGACTTGAAAACATTTTCTAGATTTACAAAGTAGTTGTATTTGATAATAATGCGCCATTAAGTAAAGATCAAATTCTTAGCCAGTTAAATATTGTGATTAATCAATCCCAAAATAAAGGTGCTGGAATAGGCATATTGACAACGGAACATCGTGATACTTGGGGTAAAGCCTATGAACTACTAATGAAAGGTTAATCATTCTTTAATTTGAGTTTTTCATGAAAATTGTACATATATATTAACAGTATATTTTAAATTTTATAGAAAATTCAAAAGCTTTATCTGAAATTGAAAAGTCCTTATTTGTTGTTTGCTTGGATAATGAAATGCCTGCTGATAATGATGTCAATAGACAGACTACTGCTGGTAAACAATGTATCCATGGTGGGGGTAGTTCAATAAATGCTGGTAATCGTTGGTACGACAAAACAATTCAGGTAATATCTGGTTAAAATTGTGAATGAGATTTATCTGACTTTAATAATAAGGACTGTTAAGATTACAAGTTGATTAGATAGATTTGATTTGTTTGGCCTTAAAAATTGATTTGTAAACAACTAAAAAAGATAACATTATATTTCACAGACATTTTTATTCTTGAATTTAAATTTAATATTTTTTTTGTAACTGCTAGATAGATAATGTGATCAGATTTCCTTCAGTTTGTAATAGGCACAGATGGCTTAAATGGTCTAACTTATGAGCATTCACCTGCTGAAGGACAACCAATTGCAGTATTAACAGATCATGTTGTTAATTACATTGATGCCCACAAATATCACGAGTTGCCAGATGTCTCCTCTGTGGTGAAACCAGAAGAATTAAAATTTAAAATATCAGATGAGGTATCATCATACATGACCCAAGCTGCATCCAATATAGATAAACTGGTTGATGATTTAGAAATGAATTGTTTCACATTTAGAGGTTTTGGCAAAGACTTTATCAAAACTCAAAAATTGAGCCCTGACAGTTTTATTCAAATGGCTCAACAATTAGCTTTTTATAGGTAAACTTAGACATATATATATATATATATATATATATATATATATATATATATACCTTTGATTACTACTGATTAAAGAATGCATAAAACACCTGGAGCACATTATGAATCAGCCGCAACAAGAATGTATCTACATGGCAGAACGGAAACAATACGATCATGCTCAAAAGAATCAATTGAGTTTGCTAAAACAATGTTGGATGCGAGAAGTGGTATTGAACAAAAGATAAATAAGTTAAGAGCAGCAGTTCAAGGACACAAAGACTATTCTGTTCAGGTTAAAATTTTATATAATTTTGCTAGTTTATTCATAAACTAAAATATGAATTATGTTTAGGCTGTTTCTGGATTTGGGGTGGATAGGCATTTATTGGGATTAAAATTAATTGCTATAGAAAATGGTATTGAAGTACCATCAATATACAAAGATCCAAGTTTTACAAGAAGTACACATATGCGAATATCAACTAGCCAGGTATGCATTTTTAAGTACCATATTTTATCTTATATAATTTTTTATTTTTTAATATTTTGTTAATAGGTTGCATCCAAATGTGATGGCTTTATGTGCTATGGACCACTCGTTGAAGATGGATATGCCTGTTGCTACAATCCACGTGATAATGATATGAATTTTGGCATTTCTGCATTTAAATCAAATTCAATCACAAGTGCAGATCGATTCAGAGTTGCTTTAGAAGATTCTCTATATGATATGCAAGATATTCTATTAAGAACACAAAAATCAAAACTGTAATTTCTTTTAAAACATTTCATACAAATGTGAGAAAAAGACTGATATTCACCACCTTGCCAGTTTCTTTTGAAAATACTTTGATATTTTCTATTTAATAATTAATATATTTTAGTATTGACCTAATAAAATAAGATTTGGTGCTTACTGGCTTGTTACAGCCATATAAATTGTATGGCTATTGGAGTGGTATTGGTATTTTTAAGTGTTAAGACTTCATAAAAGATATGATAAATATATATGGCAATCTATAATGAATAATCAAAAACAAATAGTATTTGATGCTTTTATTTAATGAACTTATATTTGTTATTACAAAATCTTGAGCTTCCACGTGAACTAAATGCAATAAATTAAGATTATGCATGTAGTGTATTCTTCAATAAATAAATTTAAAAAAAAAATCAATGGTTCAAAATATTTATCAGCATCACATTGATTGTATCTATGTAGATTTAACCCACAATTATTTATGCTCTTTTTGTATCAGAAAGTACTCTTATAATGCTTCCTACTCCGCCAATTGCATATGCCCTTTCATGCCATTGTAATAAATGTCCACTTGATCCTTCTGATGGTATTTCAAAACCTCTATATACATATTTCATTAAAATATCTATTAATGCTATATCTAATGCAGAAACGGCTTCCTCAATTTGTGAAGATTTGATAGATAGAAGAACTCTTAATGTTAAATTTAAGGCGGCATCCTAAAACGAAGGTAATATTAGATGTGCAATCAAAAATAATAAAATAATAAGGAGAATCTCACTTGTGTAATATAAACTTTTACATTATTAACCAAAAGCACATTTCTTAATGAATAAAGTGATAATGTCGTTTAATAGAACAAAAATAAAGCTAAAATAATGATGAAACTAATAACCGTTAACATTTATCTTATAATAAATATGTAAGATTCTCATTAGAATGATTTAATATACATTACTTTAACTTGTTGACTTTTGCAACCTAAGGGTGCATTTTGAAGAACACTTTTTAATGCATCAATATTCCTTCCCGTGCAAATACTATAGTTAAGGAAAATTATCTAACTAAATTACTAAAAATTATATTTATACATATTGCATTTGAAAAGGATATTGGTTAAGAAATGTATTAATTTCATTTTCATCAGGTCCTATTTGTGCTGACTCTGGTTCTTCTTCCTTAAAATTGTCTTCATTATATTGATCTACATCTATTTTTCGAAATGCAGAACTAGATGTATTTTTAGCCATTTTTTATATAAAATTTAATTGCAGATAAGAGATTTGACTAATCTAATGTTATAAAAAATGACTCAAGTTTTTAAAAAGGTGGAGTCGGTGAATACCTAAAGTGACAGCTAGTGATAATGTCATGTTGACAAACATATCAAGAGCACCAACGTAACAAAACATTTGTACTCTTTTTTATTTTGCATTTGTGTTGGTGAGCCTGGAGAAAGTCATTTAGCTGTCATATTTGGAAAAGTAATTTATCTATAACCACAAACTGTCAAATTCCTTTAGTTTACTTGTTTTATTTTATTTAATTCAGTGGCCACAAATATTATATCAAATTGAACATAAGTTGACATATTTCTTGAATTAGGTGTTAATATATTTCATTCAAAATGGGTAAAGGATTTAATAATTATATGAACAAAAAGTTCTTTCATCCAGCATCTCGAGATAATTTAAAAAGGGTAAGGTTTTTTACTATCACTGGTATAAAATTATGATAATAGATATATTATTAGTTAACAAACCATTATAAATAGAAAACTAATTCCATCTGTTAAATCTTTAATTTCTAATAATCAACATGAATTCATGCCTGCCCGTTCTACAATTACAAATCTGATCTGTATTAAACAATTTATAGCTGAATATCTTGCCACTAATGGACAAGTTGATGTTATTTACACTGACTTCAGTAAAAATTTTGAAATTTTCAGTAAAATGATCATAATATTCTTCTTACTAAATTATCTAAGATTGGTCTTAATTCTTCACTTATTTTTTTTTTGAAGAGTTATCTTCATAAACGTAAATAGTTTGTCTATCTCAATGGATTCTTGAGCAATATTGAAAATATCAGTTCAGGTGTTCCTCAGGGATTCATTCTTGGTCCTCTACTATTTATTATTTTTATTAATGACATCTGATATTATTAGCTGTCCACATTTTTTGTTCGCAGATGATCTCAAACTATATCTCAAAATAAATTCTGAAATTGACTCTTTCTACTCTTGGTGTGTCTATAATAAACTACATTTAAATACCTCAAAATGCAAGATTCTTAGTTTTTCATATAAGCTCGTTTCAATACATTTTAAATATAAAATCTCTGACACCTGTATTGATAGATGTAATAAAATATCAGACTTAGGAGTTTTATTTGGTTCTGGTTTGTTTGTCGTATAGCTGATATTTGTAATAGAGCACATAAATCTGTAGTAATGATACTGAGAAATTGTAAAGAATTGAATTCAAATAATGCACTTCTTTGCATGTACTATGCAAATGTATGTCCTAAGTTAGAATATGGATCGAACATTTGGTATCCTTATCAGAATAACAGCTATGATGCAAAGTTCAGCCTAAATTTCTAAAATATCTTTATTATAAAACATACATAATTTTTCTTGAACGTGGCTTTGTCTACAACACTTTATTAAACGAATTTGGTATACCTTCTCTTGACACACGTCGATTTATCTGTACTAATTAGTTCTTATTTCAACTTTGCAATAATGCTATAGACTGTCCTCTTATTCTTAACCAACTATCCTTTAATGTTCCTAGGCTATCTCCGCGTTCACAATTATTTTTAAATTATCCTACTCCTAAATCTAATTCTCTCTTGAATTCGCCTATTTCATTTATGTCCTCTAACTTTCAATGTCTGTGAATTCAATGATTAAAAACTTAATAATAATTATTATAGTTATTTTCTATTTATTCATTCACAAATGAATTTAATTCAAATATAAAATTTTTAATCTAATTTTGATTTAAACCTGTTGAAAATTTTATATTGTAATATTTTATGTTTAGTTAGTATTCACCGTATTCACGAAAGCATTTTATACTTAGTTTTAAATTGATATTAAATTTGAGGCTAACGTAGATGTATGAATTGTATTCACACAGAGTTATTTATTAATTTTTAGTAGAAGTTTCTAAATCGACTACATCTAAATTATTTTATATTTCTAGGTATGGATGGCAGAACAGAAGTCAGAAGCATATAAAAAGAAGCAAGAAGAATTACGAATGCAATATGAAAAAGAGCAGGATTTATATGATAACAAGTAAGAATTTTATAAATTTTATGATGCTTTAGAATTTAACTTACTAAATTAATTATCTTATAGGGCTATGCTAAGTAAAGATAGTAAAGATAAGTTATCCGTTAACTTTATGTATGAGCCTCCACCAGGAACTAGAAAAGAGACAACAAATGACCCAATTGGAACTGAAGAAGTACGTTTTGAATGGCAACGAAAATATCAGGCGCCTCGTGAAAGTTATTGCAAAGGTGATGTGCAAGTTAGAGATCAGCCTTTTGGCATTCAAGTTCGAAATGTTCGATGTATTAAGTGCCACAAATGGGGACATATCAACACAGGTAATAAAAAATGAAAATGGTATGCATTTTAAAATCAATAGGTTTTTACCACTTTACATACTAAATTATATTTTTTAGATAAGGAATGTTCAATGTATGCTCTCAGCATGTCAGAAGCAAGGGAAATACATTCCAAGAATTTGATTAATGAATCTACATCTGTTAGAGATAATTTGTCATTAGAGCAGCAAATGCTTTCTGATGGTCTGGCATTGAAAAAAATTGCAACAAAAACATCACATCATGACCTTATTGAAGAAACCCCTTCAGTATCTCATGAATCTAATGACCACACAGAAAAAGAATTTATAAAAGGATTAACAACTAAGCAAAAGAAGGACTTGTTGAAGTAAGTATATAATTCTGTAGACTAAGCCTATTTTGATAACTATATCTAAATAAGCAATATTTTTTGCAGGCGATTAGAAAAGTTAGAGAAACGCAGTTTGAAAAAGTCAAAAAAGTCAAAAAGTAAACGAAAAATATCTGAAAGTAGTTCATCAGATTCTTCAAGTTCCGATGAAGACAAAAAGCATAAACATAAAAAGCACAGAAAGCGGGATGATGACAGAAAACACAAACATAAGTCAAAAAAGAGTCACAAATAATGTGTTGTAAGTGATTTGAAAAAGATTAAACTTTTAATTATTTTCATTAAGATTAAATAAAAATAGACAATGATCATATTTACAATTTCAATTTTATTATTCATATAATCTTAGAGTATCCGTAAGAGATTAATTAATTTTTAATTAAACGAGTTTTATTTATTACTTTCTTTTCTCTTCTTACGAGGATATGATTCTTCTGGTTTCCATTCTCTTTCATGTCTGGATTGTTGAACATAATACCAAGTATCCATATTTTCTCTGTGAATATTGTTTAAATTATTAATAATTGTGAACAAATTGTACATATTTGGATTCTATATCCTGCCATTAAAAACAATTATGCAAATACTATATTCAAATATGGTTATATTATTATAATATGCATATTTTTCTTACTTGGTTAAATTATAAATTGGCTCGCAGTTTGGTAGTAAGGACACTAATAATTCATTTGCTGGCTGACAAATGATAGACATAAACCGAATTTGTTCTTCTGGGATTCTATCATGTTTCAGACGATCCATCATTGGCAAAGGGACAAAGCCCATATCCTTTTCCAGGTCACCCTAAAATAGTTGAACTATGAGCTTAGTATGCATTAGAAGCAATTTTATACATACCTGATGATAGAATTCTTTCACTAATCCATGACAAATGATTTTGGATATTTTGAAAGGTTTGCAGCTTCCTGACAAATCACAGCACGTCATTATAATGCTTCTTAATAAATACTTATCCATTTCATCATCTAGATCAAAATTGTCAGCTAGTAAAACTTTTGCTAGTTTCGAGCTATTTCTTAAATATACTGCCAAATCAGTTGCTAATATATTTTCTTCTAATAGAGTCATCATTTGCTGATATTCATGCTTTGATAGAAAATCTAGCAATCCCGATATCTATGTAAAGAGTATTCCATTATCTTCTATTTATATTGAAGCTTATTAAGTGCATATATGCATATAATTTGAACTTACTTCCAGAATTAGTTTGGCAACAAATATGTGATGATGTTCTAATGTAGAACTTTCATACAACTGATAAAGTGGATGATTTGTAATACGTAGAAAGTTGTTCGTGTATGATCTGTGATCCAAATCATGGCACATTGCGCTTATCATTAGACTCAATAACTAAAAATAGTTGATATGCATATATTGATTGAAGGACTTCATGAATTAAATGAACCAAATTAATTTAGGACATTACCTCTGTATCTGTGAATATTTGCAAGTTCCTGATAAGAATTGTATACATGCAGTGTGTTACATTGAAGGCATGCTCGAAATTGTGGAAAGGTTGTTCGCGATATGATTTTCGAATCATTATTAGGAAATTAGCTACATTCTTTATATTTGGGAAACGGTCGCCACATACTGATGTTAGCATGTAGTAGAGAATTTGAGACATGTGCCCAGTTTCTTTTGGACTAATATACCAACTAAAACTAAAATAACGGATTAATATTTTTCATAAAATATTGAAGTGTTGATTATATGGCTGTTAATAAATTTAAATAATATTTTCTCATTTTTCAAAATTGTAACGTAAAATATCGTAAAAGAAAGTGAATTCTTAGTAAATTTACTTCATAATTCCTTCTGGCTGGGTAGGTAATAATGGTTGCGATAAAAACGGCTTAACTTCGGCAACTGTTGGTCTCATATGATATGTTAACATTTCTCTATACATAGCGTTTTTGCTGTCCTATGAAAAAAATCATTTATATACATTCATACATATATAAATTTATATAATTTTATGAAATGAAATATTTTTACTACCCCTTTTGTTTTTGCATCGTTTATTCGAGCATACTGGAGTACAAGAGCACAATAAGTTGCAAATGTACTTATGAACTTTTCGTCTTCATTTGTGAAATATTCACTTTTCACTTTATTCATTACTTGTATCACTCCTGCAATATTATTTTATAAAATTTAAAATTTTATAAAATAATATTAAATCTAAGTATCGATATTTTAATAATCGTATAATCGATAATTTATTACAAGTTAAATTTAAAAAACCAAGCTACTGCGTTCTGATGTTTACTTTCAAGCGGAATGTTTCACTTAACACTCCTTAATATGTTATTTTTTGATATACCTAGTACATTTTCTTCCGTCATGATTGGGGCACTAAGAATAGTTCTAGTAATTTGTCCAGTAACAATATCATAATCAGTGCTGAATCTTGGGTCAGTGTTGGTATCTCGAATATTTATAATTTTTCCAGCGCGTGCAGTTAAAGCTGCCAAATGGCGCGCTTTATTGAATCTATTTACAGAAATATATATTAATAAAATCACTTTTTAGAAAATGTATAATATTTCATACTTCACAGCTCGTTTCCGTTTCAATAGTTTGTTAATGCTGGCATCTAAAGCCTCGTCATATAAGTCAGCTACGACATTATTATTTTTATCTTTGTGCACAACATAGAATGAACCGCGTTCTCCACCCAGGGTAGTTTTAGCAAAATTCTACAATGTAAATACAACGTTTTTATTATAAACCTTTGATTTTTATTATTTTTCAAGATTTTTTTTTACATACAACAATTTCTGAAATCATTTGCTCAATTTGCACGTTATCACCGAAGTATTTGCTGGTGAACTCCAGTAAATAATCATTTAGCTGCTGTTGTTTTCTAAGAATTAGGCGCATCTGGTTTTGTTGGATTGCTGCTCCCATCCACCCAGTTATACCCATCACCACCTGAAGGTCTCTCTTAAAAAAAAAATTAAATGAGTTTATATATATATTGATATATCTTAATCGTAAAAAAGTTATGATTTAAACTAACGGTATAAAAGGTTGTTTCATTTTGAAATGATCATTGCAAGGAAAGATATTTGGTGTATGATATTTTAAGATATGTTATTCCATTTACAATTTCTTACATCGTCATACACTTCTTCAGATTCTTTGTAGAGTTCAACAATAGCAAAACATTCATCTTCCTGGGTTAAGATTGGGACACAAAGAACAGCTTTGACTGTAGGTCCTTTCCATCCTACTCCTTCGGGAAAACGCTCATCTCCCAAAACATCATTCGTCATGATAAAATTTCTGGTGGCTGCCACAAATGCCGCTATTGTTTTACCTCTTTCTATTAAAGAAAAACCAAATATTGAATTCGATAAGATATCAAAATAATTATTATTGTTTTAGACTTTCAACGTCTATGCAGGCTTATTTAAGACAGAAAAGTAAATTGTGTTTTCACTCATGAGATCCATCAGCATCTGTCTTATTGATGATTATCGTATAAATACAACTTTATTATTTTGTTGTTGAATTTATTTTATATGATTTTTCTAACCAAACTCTACAATACTTCAAATATAAATGTATTTATTTCAATTTATCGGACACAAAAATTTTTAAAAGCAAGTAGGTACTACGTTATCCCATATATTTCATATCCCATATAATATTGATTTTAACTTATTGTTTATAGCTCAAAGTCGTATAGCATAAAATGCAATTTAAAGGTTTATTAATCAAGTCAAAATCTTCTACTTCCAAATTATAGAAACGTTACCTATTTTCCAGGAAATTCTGTGCCTTTTGTTGTTTAGTAAATATTTCGGACTTTGATAAATTTCTTTGGTGAATTTATCAACCATATATACTACGACACCTAAAAAGCAAGCAATATAATAATTTACAAATCAGATTTTTAAAAATGATACTTGCATATCAACATTGCAATTCTAATACAGCATTATATAGAGTACAATACTCTATGTACCAGAAATTAATTGAAAATTGTAATAATATTTTTTTTAATAGAACAAACATCAATAATTTATAAATGTTGACATAATGATTTTGAATTCTAAATAAAGGGCTGCGTTTTCTATTGGAGAAATTTTTAATAGTAGATTAAAAATTTTATGAATATTTTTTTACAAATTCAATTATTACCTGTACTATTTGTCACAAACTTGAGAAGATCAGCCGTGTCATGCAGAAGTGCAGGCAGGTCGACGAAGTCTGATAAATACTCCGAAAGATCTTTTATTAAAACACTAGGTTTTTTTCGAAGCATTTCTTGGAAAGTCTTTCCATATATTGCGACCTTCTTTTCCGGTTGTGCCGCGGTTCCTCGTCTCACAACGTGAAGGTAAGGCGCGATAACGCGCCGGGTCATTTTATCGGCTTTGTCATAACCTGAAATAAATATTAATGTTTGTAACTTATGTAAAATGTGAATATAATTTGTTCTTATTTTGATCATAATATTTTAACGAAAATATTATTGGAAATAAAAACTTGTGGAGAAATGTTAATTATCGGAATTGGAAATAGTAAAAAAATATTTACATTACTAATTAACTTCCCGTAGTGTAAGTTATTGTAATTGTCCAAAAATCGATATTAAAAATAGGATATTTGCATATCTTCACGTTTTGGAGGTCTACGTTTTCGGGCGCACAGATCAACCGATTTGAATGGTTGAAATAATATTCAGTTCCTATTGATAGAGAAATGTCCTGATTAGTTTTTGACAAAGGCGGGTCTAGCCGTTTCGGAGATACGGAACAAAGAGTGCAGACATTAGATATCGTGTTTTTGAGAGAACGAAGTACCTGATTTGAATTTCCAAACAAATATTCAATTTGTAATGATGGGGAGAAATGGTAGTTAGATTTTGGCAAAAGGTCTAGCCGTTTTGGAGATACGAAGCTAAATATGCAAAAATGCCAGTTTTTGAGAGAACTAAGCATCTGACTTGAATAATTGCTGCTTGTGTTGACGAAACGATTGCTTTCGGGAAAAGAATTTTTTTTAATTTCCAAAAAATAGTTTTTTACTAAATTTTATTCTTCGAATATTTTATTAAAGTACGGAAAGTTTACATTATTCACCTTAAGGTACGATGCCATACACCACTAGTTTACTTTATTTTTTTTCGTCCCTCATTATTACTATTTTTTCATTTTCTGTATTTCTGATATATCGAAATATTTGTTATAAATTTACAGGAATGTATTATCAGTAATATGAAGTATCATCAGTTCAATTTTGTGAAATTTAGTAGGATTTAACTCATCTTTGTTTTATTAAGCATTATTATTAAAATGTTTTGTTCTTGATACGTTTACAAAAAAGTTTGAAGTTTGAAAGTATCTTAAATTAAGATTTTATACTTAACTTTCACATTTGTTAAAATAAATTTATCAGCTCGCACATAATATTTTAAATCTTGTAGCTATATGAATATTAAATTTAATTCATTTCTGAACTTTCATTGAAATTTTTAGTACACATGAAAAATAAATACACATAGCGATAAATGTAATATCTAAATTGAACATATTTGTATAATTTTAGTGAGATAAAATTTTTATACAAAATCTTAGGACAAATTACGCTACAATTACTAATAAATAAACTTAAATATCAAAACCATGATTATGTTCATCGGGTATATAATGAAGAATATTTTGATTACGCGAAGAAAAACAAAAGAATTCATAAATTTGATCTAAAATCTTGACATTGGCTTTAAAACCCCAATTGTCAATCGTATAATTTATGTTCAATCTTTAATTAATCATCACATAATTAATAGTCTCATTTAATGTTTATATGTTAGTGGAGAAGCAGTTGGACAAAGTAATCGTCAGGATGACCCAAAATTGTAAGTATAATATAAATTTATATTTTATAAATGATATATTTGTAATTGTTTTTTAATATTACCCAGGAACTCTCTATCCCGCCTGATGCTTTTGTAATGGCTAACTTTTTCTTCACCAGGCTTAATGGACTGTTCCTGCGATGGGTTTGGATTATTTAGTTGTTCTTCTGCTTTGGCCTCCATTGTGAATTGTGAGGGTACTGTAAAAATATTAATAATAATTATATATTATTAAATAATTAATAATATACTCAATATTAATAATCTATTAAATTAATTAATATTGACACTTTCGGTTTCGAAATATTTTTTTTTCATTTATTCATTCAAATTGAGTGCTATTTGAAGTTTATCTGAATAGATGGTTAAAGTCAGTTGAGTTAAAAACTAAAACCATAATAAATTTAAATAATTAAGTTTTCAAAATTTTTCAATGTGAAATATAGCGACTCAGTTATTATTCACATCTAAATAAATAGTGAAAATTCAATGCAGCAATGTGAATAATATATCTATTCAACACATAATTATTGTTATTAGATATAGATTTAACTAATACAATACTTTAAATATATTTCCTTTACCTAGAATGGGCAGCGTCAAAAATTTTCCGGGAATCCAAAAATAAAAGTTAATATAATGTGAGCCTCACAGACAATAGATTCAGGTTCAGAAGAGTAAATTTTTGATTTAAAATATTTTTATAAATTTAATTAGTATTTAAAAATATGTAGGTATCAAAAATATTTTTATTATAAAATGTATAAAAAATAAAATGATGCTTATTTGTTTACGGTGTGTATGATTTCTATGGCAAATGTGATTTGAGTCGTGGATTAATTTTTGTTCATTACTTATGTTTTATTTTATGGAGAATTGATTCTTATTAAAATGTTTTATTTATTTGACCGTCTTAGATTTATAACCACGTGTAGACATTTTTTCCAGTGATGTAGAAATTATCTCAATCCAAGTTAGTTATATTAATTTTTTGTGCAATATTTAATTTTGTATTGCGTACTAATTGGTGTTTAATATCTGGTGAATATATAATGAATAATATATGTGTACTAGACAAAATATATGTCTGTATATGCATTTCCGTCAGATGTTTTTGCTGTTGCATTATTTCAAAAGCAAATACAGGTGGCATAAAACCTTAAAAAAATGCGCCATAGACACGTTCAGATATTAATTATTACATCATTTTGTTATAATTATTATCATTCATATTGTGCAACTACACAGATCGATATGAGAAGTTCTGTGATAATTTTTCCTAATGAGTGGAATTTTAATAAAAAAATGTTTAAACTATTCAAATTTGATTCTTCATTATTCAAGTATCCGCTCGGTTGGAGAATCTTAAATAAAATAAAATAATTATAAAGGCGTTATTAAAAGTTATAGTGTCTTAATACTATGGATTATGGATAACCCTATCTTACACATCGACAATAATATATTATAACTAAATATATATTTTATTGTCAGTCAAAAACTTTCACTAACAGAAATCGATGAAAATTTCAATAATGTAATTACTATAATCATACTCACAAAGTAGGGGTTTGTTATGAGAGGATGAAAATTTAGGGTCACGTATGTTTTTTATATAGGCATTATAAAAAAATTAAAAAACCTTTAGTGTGGCCAACCCCTACCATTTAGTTTCAATCGAAATATGCGAAAACCTTTTAGGGGAAATACCTAACCGTTTTCCAAATTTTCCCGGCGTTGGATATATGTTTTTTGATAGATAGGGCATAGACACACACTGTTAGGCAGAGAGACTAAAATATTAAGTATAAAATACTTTAAAATTTTAACATTGACCTGGCAATGCCAGCACTGAAGAAAGGTTTTTTTAACAGAAGAAAAGAAATCTATTTTGTATTTTTTTGACGAACAGCAATCTTGAATTGTATAAGCTGTTGTGATATAATTTTTATAACCTAGGATTATTAGAAGACAATCCATAGGTTGTCCATTCTCTTTGTAACGAGATTATTATTGAATATATCTATAATAACATGATTTATTTATTTCAGCAATACCCCGAAAAGCTATTTTCATTTGAACTCATATTAAGATCTATACTTGTATTGCCAAATGAAACTGATATTACTAGTACTTGATATCAGGTTGCCCGAGGATACAATAGAATCTGCAATCTTGTGGTGGTAAGGTTGAAGATCCTATGTCTTAAACCACAAATAATTCCGGTAATTTCTGCTAAATTTAATTTAATAAATAAAATTTAATTTTGCGAATATGTGTACATGCATACGAATGCAAGCATTCAATCATACAACGTATTATTATTATTATTATATACTAGCTGACCCGGCTAACGTTTTACCATGTAAGGTTTCTAGAAGATTTCTAGAGAAGCCCAAAAATGACCAATGCATTATGTGGTCAATGTGTAAGAATGTGGTCTATGAATGGCATCATAGACAATACCAAACCCCAAACTTTATTAAATATAATTTGTATTGACAATAGTTTGACCAATCAAGAACTTACTTCGTATGGAAAATATAGTATAATTGATGGCAATTCTAATTAATTGGATACTGATTATTATATATCTTCACGTTTTGAAGGTTTCTGAACATTTTGGCATACCTTAGAAAAAATGGATGTATGTTTGTGTGTGTGTGTGTTTGGATACAATTTTTCGTCCTCAATTTCGGGCGCACAAATCAACCGATTTGAATGATTAAAAAAACATTCGACTACTGATGAGAAGACGTGCTGATTAGATTTTGGTGGAGACAGGTCCAGTCGTTTTGAAGATACGGGGCAAAAAGTGCCAAAAACGGTAATTCAGTTCGGAGTACCCGATTTGAATGATTCAAAAAACATGCTATTTGTATTAACGAAATGAAGAATTGATGAAATTTCTGGTAAGGCAGGTCTAGCGGTTTTGGAGATACAGAGGAAAAAGTAAGAAAAAATGATATTTGGCGGTCAAAAATGATCACTAGACATATGCACATCAAATTATCAGATATTTGATAAAATTAAAAAAATGAGTTCTAATTTTGTTCCATTTGTTGGGTTCCATACCGAGATTGTTAATTTTTAAATTTTACTTATACAGATCAAGCTAATTTCAAAATTTTCAGAAATTTTTTTTTCAAAATTTTCAAAAATGAATTTTAAATTTACAATTCAATTTGAAAGTGTATATATTTCAAAAGCGTTATTCTAATCGTAAGAAATATATCCTCAGATGGATTTATTCGACACCTCTTGTTAATGTAAACTTTCTCAAGTTTGAGCGATAAGATCGTCACTGTATATTTTATGAACGATAAAATAGTGATTATAATTATCTAATTGAAAATGTTTAAGATAATTGTTATTAATCATTGATCAATATTTATTGATTACTGAATTTTTTTCTCGAATATTTAATTCTGGTACGGGAAGTTGCAGCAATTTGCCTTAAGGCACGATGCCATGCACCACTAGTTTGTATTTATATGCAGCGGTCTAAAACTACAAAAGGGCTTTCGATGTTTGTAATTTATGTATTAAATATCGTTATAAACTTTCGTGTGGAGAAAACGGATCTTTATTTGAGAATGTAACTGTATTCTTCTCCGCCGGGAGTGTCCGTAAGCGCTAATGAATTTGTAGTTATCGACCTATCAGTTAATTTCTGTTTGCACAAACGAGAACTCCGATTCTTGTTTGCCGTTTTACTAAAATATATCGTTTGTTGTGAGGCGCGATATTGTGTACTTGTTTCTTACTTTGGCTTACATAACTGACTTTGAGCAAACAGAATCGTTAAGGAACTTCTATGCCGTTATAAATTATATGCAGTTAACGAGTATGAATTTGTAACTGTTCTGGCCTTAAAAATGCATTTTTCAATTAATTACGATGAGGACGAGGTTAAATTTGTTCGAAACGTAGATGTCCAGAACACCAATAACGATAATCATGCAAGTCGTAATATGCTTCACTTTTTAGGAAATGCGAATATCAAGAATCAATCTGAAATAAATCTGTTTGCCTTTCAATGCTTTTTAACTTCGCGTGGGGTAGTCATAGTAATGGGCCGAAAATCGAAAATGAAAATTTTTGCATATCTTCACGTTTTGAAGGTTTCTGAACATTTTGTTTGACATACATCAGAAAAAATGTGTGTTTGTTTTTGTGTGTCGCATTTTATCGTCCACGTTTCGGGCGTACAGATCAACCGATTTGAATGGT